TGAACCTATTTCAATTCAATTCAATTCGAATAAAATTTGCAACTACAAACATCTTTAATTTTAAAAAATATATAATTTGATTGAACTCAATATGTATTCACCAACATTTTACACAATCCAATTAAACCAATAATGTCATCAAAGTGTATCATCAATAATTTTACAGATTGTTTTTCCCTACTTGTAAACATTAAAACCCTAAACCCCTGAAAGTGCATACATGACTAGTAAAATAAAAAGTAAATAACGTTATACGTAATGTACCTCAGTAACATTTACTTCTGTTATATTTTCTACAAATACTCCGTGGCTTTTCGCTCTCATTTAAATACTGACAGGACAGGACTTTAAGGTCACCCAGAGACACGGCGCCGCGCCGCTTTTTATCACCAAGTCGCAGGAACTTGAGGCTGAGTCAGAAAGCCAGGATTACCTAACTCTGCTTTGCTTTTTCTCTAGATACATCAACACTGCGTAGTTAATCAATATACTACAGCATACCATTCAGCTCATATATCGATTATAAACGTACATGCAGCCATGTTCATACTGTTATGACAGCAGTGTTTGTTTTGTGCATCGGAAAACGTCGTGTTACATAGTGGCTTATTTTCTCGTAAGCTAGATGGTTTTGCTACACGCAAGACAATGGTTCAAGTAAATCTTGATATTAAGTTTAATCGGTATTAAACAAAAAGGACATAGTTTCCCACTGTGAAAAGGGTGACTATGAAGGAACGATTTCATAGCCACGTTTCAGCACATGCCCTAATTCCCCGGGTTCCTAAGCATGTCTTCGGTGTAATGACAGGAACGGTAGCCTGACCAAACCCCCTGTAATGCAGCGCTCTAAGGACGAGCCGCCACCATGACCAGACTGATACGAATCGACGAAAAATAACAATTAACCTTACCTGGATATTAGCTCACATTTATTTCGCTCTCTCCATACCAAAGACAGGGGTGACGTTACCTGCAAAGCTGCAATCTTATTGGATAAAACGCTTTCGTTTCTCTCATTCGCTCTCTCGGGCGAATCACTGGCCGTCTGCTACCACGTGACCGCCTACGAGGGGTAACTGTCGGTCACCATGGCCAAGTCGCCTGACTATCCTGGAGCAAAGGATGAAGCGAATGATTGGTTGATGAGATCCAATGAGAAGCCGCAGAAGGCCATCGCCCTACCATTCCGATTCGTGGATTTACGGTCTCCGCGCCAGTAGCACTAAAGTTACACATATAAAAATGTTAGGAACCATCCATCCATTTATATGCTTTCTGTTTATCCTGGACAGAGCGGTGGGGTGGGACTGAAGCCTACGCCCGGTAGCACGAGGCAGTGTAACACCGTAAACGACGTGCCATTTCATCGCAGGCCACATTGTAGGGAATGAATGTTCTTCTATATATAAGGTTTTTTTTTTTTAAACCCATTTATTTTTGTTAGGACTGTACCCTATCCCTGTAACCTGAAGCAGAAACCCTTTGGTAATCTCAAAACAAAAAACATTTATTAATATATTTTTTGCTTTATTGTAATTACTGCGTTTATATTTTTACATTTAGATTTTTGCTTAAGTCATAAAACCACCTACGCCAAAAGAAATTTCTTTTATTTCTCTGTACTTGGTAAATAAAAGATTCTGGTTCTGATTCTCACCTGCCACTTCATTCCAACCTATGTTTACACGCATCTCGATTGTTATGCGGCAGCACCTAAATAAAAATTTTAGGCTGCAGTAATGTACGTGTGTAATACAGAAAAAAATGCAAGACCTTTAGAACTATTATTAGTATTATTCGCATCAATAATGGTAGTATCACTATTATTAGTATGTCCAGGCTTTTTGCGTTGTAATCTATGACTTATTTTTGTATAACATCACGTTATAACGTGAAACCGTATCACGTTAAAACGTGATACTATTTCACGTAATTATATTATCCATGAATATACTTCAATATTATAAAACCAGTAGGAGATGGTGGTTTGAATGTAATTGATTTTGAAGTGATGAATGGTACTATAAGTTACGATGGTTGCATTTTTTTTTTTTAAATGAACATTGTATTTGGTTCAGTTTACCTAGCCTACTTATCTGTTTAACAGGGTTGGTCGTATTAGGTTTCTTATGATATGTGGTTTTGACCCCCTTAAATTACCACTTAAGTTATCTGATTATCACAGACAGCTAGGTGTTACTGTACTGGAAAATGCTCTACAAATAGAACTTCACCCCACACACAGCTATTATATGGAATAATAGATACATTTTACGTAAGGGTAAATCATGTATGCATGTATGTACATGTGTATGTATGTGTGCATATGAATCTGTTTAACAATATGTATATGTATATACTGTACATATGTATATGTATAGGTGTCACGATGCGAGTTGACGAGCCGGTGAGAGAGGCGAGAGCAGCCAGGTTGACAGACAAAACGGGGTTTTATTGGGAAACGAACAAGACGGAAACTCACACATGGGAATTGGCGATGACAGATCTGGGGAAAACTACTGGAGACGTGGACTAAATACAAGATACTAGGTAAACGGAACAGGCAACAGGTGAGAACAATCAGGGTTGGACATGAGGTAATGAGGGGGCGTGGCACACACGAGGAGCGTTCGGAGCTGAACGTGACATATAGGTATATTTGTTTACCTCTTAACTTTGTTTTTATGTATTTCTCAATCACGTGTGCCCACACCACGACAAATTCCTTGTATGTTATGCATACTTGGTGAAATAAAGTGATTCTGATTCTGATTCCTTATTATATAAAGAGTGGAGGGAGAAAGGAATCCGGGCTATTGTCCATTTCATGGATAAGGAAGGAAATACAGTATTCATTAGTAATACCTGTATATGCTAATTTATTAATTGACAATTATAACTTTTGAGATAGTACATGTAATAATAGAATATATATATTAAGATCTGAAATGACAAAAGAATGTTTTCCTACTCCAGTTAAAAGAAGAGTATTATCTACAAAATTTTCAAAGACTGAAATTATCAAAGTTAGATCTATATATTTGTCCTTTCCTCTGTTACCCAAAATGAAAGAAGTTAACTTTAAAACGATTGATGACATTTACCCATGTAAACAAATTTTTAAAATGAGGTTTAATTTAGACGACTTGGAAGATTTATGTTCTTTCTGTGATAATGAGAGTGAATCCCAGGAACATTTATTTTTCTCTTGTACAATGGTCAACACTATATTTGGTCTGCTCTGTTTAATTGCTTATCTTCATAATACGTACCACACTCAGAGTATCTCACCATTAACGTTAAGCAAACGTTTCGTAAATCTTCATACTTTATTAATATAATTACTTACTCCACGTATATAAGTGAGCAGTGTCCCGCACTTTTAAAGGCGCTACAATTATAACTGCGCCTTTAAAAATCCAAATCTGACCACTTCAAATCCCAGAGACACTTGTGTAGCATGTCCACACATAATTCCTGTCCTCATTTGTTGAATGCCTGCTTTGTCTCATTATCATTACACAGGGATCAGACAAAGGGAAAAAACGTTTTCACAAATAAACACATATGCATATATAACAGGTCTCTCCACATGTGTAAAATGTAATTATATGTATATTAAACATTTCTGATGCTCCAGTCAACATCTCAGTGCATTTAATACACTGCATTCATGAACAAAACTGTGTATTTAATAGTGCATAAACAGTAAATAGTGCATTATTGTTTTGTTTTACAAAGCCATTGCATTTTAATTGTGATTGACCACTGTCTGAAACATAAAGGTGTTGCTTTACTTTTGTGCAATTGGAGGTTTGACTCTATGCCAACTGAATTATGTTTGCTCTATAATATCACAGTTTGTTAGATGGGCAGCCTGTTAAAACCAGGACATATTGTTATATTTGATATTTCTTGGGACACCGGAATGCAAAGCCTGAAGTCAGGATTGTTCCGGTCCAACTGGTAGCAATGCTACCCACTGTGCCGCCCTACACTGTCTCACTAATTGTGACTAATTGTTCTACCATTGTTTTTTTCCTCTGAGTAGTAAGAGGTTCTTATTTTGCAGATTGACTGTTCGGCAGTGAATGGAATGACTGATTTGGAGCTTTCAAGATACATAACCAGACTAGGGGACCGTATCGCTGTTCGTCAGTACTGCAAGACTGAAGTTCAGGACACTGGAGAAATTTCAAAAGCTGCACAATCTCTGCGGGAAAAACTTACAGCAAAGAAACTACATGGAAATTACAATGCCATTAAAACGGAACGCAGTTTTCAGTTAGGATTATTTGAGAAAAAAGGAAAAACTTATGTCCAGGTCAGAGAACGCAGAGGTGGAGGTACTATAGACACCTGAAGGCTCACAAATGCACTACAATGGCAGAAATTATGGAAATGGTTAAGAAGCTGTTTTTCCACATGGAAACATAGACACTGCAGTATCAAAGTTTTTGCGTCTGAACTGTCCGTTTTTCCGTAAAATTCATTTGAGTGTTGCCAACGACATCACAATGTTGTGCTTAACAGCCAAAACTCAAAGAATGTCAGTATATTTCAGCCCAGTATCAAAATAAAACTGTATTAAATCGAAACGCTCCATGACCCTGTGTCCATGAATGATCAATATGGTAGCGATAAACAATTCGTGGGCGCGATTTAGTAATTCGAGGGTACGATTTACTAAATCGAGCGCACGATTTAGTAATTCGAGGGTACGATTTAGTAAATTGAGGGAACGAAATAATATTTTTTTTTCTACCGTGACAACTAAGGGGCTCCGTATGTTTCAGTAACTTTGGATAGCTTACTTTTCAGTCGTTTAGCAAGGTTTCAGTTATTATAATTAAAGGTTAAATAATTTATTTTCTGTGGTAATTGCATCTCTTGCCACCATGCGGCAATATTGTAAAATTATCATGGACCTCAGACGCACAGATTGTATTGATGTCACAGGAGTTTAAATAAAGTTTTATTTTTTTGAAAGGAGCGTTTTGATGACGACGGGTTGTGACGTCCATTACGTGCTCGGATGTCCACACGTGTCTTGTTTCGGGATTCACGAGTTGTACTGCTGTTCTGTAAATATATCCGAATATTCACTAAAAACTTTGTTTATAGCCATAGACTTTAACAACAACCGACATGGGCAAAAAGTTAAAAGTTGGGAAGACTAGGAAAGATAAATTCTACCACCTAGCGAAGGAGACCGGTGAGTTATGACAACTTGACAAGCTGCGACTTTCCTGCTCGAGGGCCAATGCTGATCTAGTGCACTGTTAATAGATTAAATTATGAAATCAGTTCTTTATATTAGTTAAAATGTCACAGTGGAAGTGTATCCCTATAAAACAAGATATTTAAGAACCTCACCATTACATTAGTGATACCGAACGGAATTCGACTAGTTGATTAGTCTTGAATAAGATCATTTTACATTAGTTTACGTAGTTGACTTGAAGAATGAGTACATATCCATTAGTGGATGTCAGACACGATTTTAGAATTTGATTTAGTAGAGAAGACATTTATAGAGCCCTAACAAAATGTGAAAATTGCTCATTCCCGTTTATAATGCTGTGCTTAATTGGCTTGGCCATTTTTTTTTGCCCGGGAGCTTATGGGAGGCCAAACAGTTCATAAGCTTAGCTAAACAAGACACCACCTATCCAGCTGGACGTAGCGTGCGACAGTCCGCACAACCCGCCTCTACAGTGCAGCTGTGCCTCGGATGGCGAAGGGTAGCTGGATAGCGTGCGTGACCCGGCTCGATCACGTTGGTGGGCAATGCATAGCGAAGGACAGCTACATAGGTGGCATCTAACTTGGCTAGGCTTATGAATCGTTTGGACCGCCATAGGAGCGTACATAGCTGAGGGTAGAATACCTAATGTACGAGGTGGAGGCTGACAGCGTTATTATGCTGAGTCTCACTGGGAAGATTACATTGCTTTGAGACTGACATTGCCTTTGCTCTTTATTTCCAGGTTACCGGTCTCGTTCCTCCTTCAAGCTCATCCAGCTCAACCGTAAATATCAGTTTTTGCAGAAAGCGCGGGCACTCTTGGATTTGTGTGCTGCCCCTGGGGGTTGGTCAGTAGCGCAATCATCAATGCATCAATGCAGATTCTGTATCTAGCAATTTATTCCAGTCTGATTAAATTACATAAATATTTACTTGTTGGAAAGATTGACACTGTACAAAAGATAACGTAAAAAAAAAAAAATCATTCAAGCTCATAGACCAATATGGCCTATACATCTTGATGATGTATCTTGTAAACAGTCTCTGTGTTAACTGCATTGTCTGCATTCTCACCATAGGTTGCAAGTGGCTTCAAAGTTCATGCCAGTTTCTAGCCTGATTATTGGTGAGTGCTGATTTTGATGATCACTTTGGGTCTTTGGGTCTATACTGGATGTACAATAGATTTGCAGATTTTCTAAAATGTAGGGATGCATCAAGATAATACTATGCCTCCTCCTGGTTGGATTTGCCCGAACACCTCCCCAGGAGGCATCCGAGATAGATGCCTGAACCACCTCAGCTGGCTCCTTTCGATGCGGAGGAGCAGCGGCTCTCCTTTGAGTCCCTCCCGAAAGTCCGAGCTCCTCACCCTGTCTAAGGCTGAGCCCAGCCACCCTGCAGAGGAAGCTCATTCCAGCCTCTTGTATCTGATGTCTTATTCTTTTGGTCACTATCCAGAGCTCATGACCGTAGATGAGGGTAGGAACGTAGATCGACCAGTAAATCAAAAGCTTTGCCTTCTGGCTCAGCTCTCTGTTATCCACGACAGAACTGTACAGTATCTGCATTACTGTCGATGCTGCACCAATCCACCTGTCGATCTCCCGCTCCCTTCTTCCCTCACTTGTGAACAAGACCCTGAGATACTTAATCTCCTCCACTTGAGGCAATAACTCATCCCCCCAGCAGGTGAGGGCAACCCATCCTTTTCTGATTGGGAACCATGGACGTGGAGGTGTTGATCCTCAGCCACGTTCAAGACACACTCATCTGCAAACCGTCCCAGTGCATGTCCCAGTGCGGCCAGGACAGAATCCACATCGTTCCTCCTTGATCTGGGACCTCCTCAGGGAGACTGAGGAGTGTGACTCCCCCTAAAGCTGGAACACATCCTCCAGTGCCCCTTCCTTGGGTCCACCACCCCAGTCTGCCAAACCAAAGGCACTGTCCCCGACATTCACGCGGTGTTGAAGAGGCGTGTCAGCCAAGACACCCCCTCAACATCAAGAGCTTTCAAGAACTCATGGCGAATATCATCCATCACCGAAGCCTTACCGCTCACCCACTGACACTGATAATATCACTGTGTGATATTTCAGCTTTAAAATATCAGGATAAATGATAATATTGACCCCCCCCCCCACTACAGCACCAATTAGGGCACTTTATTTTTTTCCTGGGAAAAAATAAGAAAGCCTGAACCTGCAGTGCTGACCATTGTTTATTGGTCTCTGTGGAAAACAATGAATCAGCGTTAGGATTATCGTTTGACATTTTCTCTCTCCGTCCTGTCTGTATAAATGTGTCTCTGCAGGAGTTGACCTGGTGCCAATCAAAGCCATTCCCAACGTGGTCAGTCTCCAAGAAGACATTACTACTGAGAAGTGTAGACAGGTGAGTAGTGGCTGAGTAAGAAGGTCGGTCTGTCTCCTTTAAGAGGGAAATTTAATTGCAAGTTATTTCTGTGTCCATTTACTGACAAGATGCTTGTCTGCTGCAGCTGTGTTTGCATGAGAGGAAGCTGTTAGTTTCAGTTCTAGCAGATGCAACAGAGGGCAGCAGGAATGCTTAGTTGGTGAGCATGTGAAGCAGCTTGAATCTGTGACAGCCCCTTAGAAGAGGGAAATGCATGTGTAATATAATACAGTGCATTATTATAATACAAATGAAATGTAATTGTACAACCCCAGTTCCAAAAAAGCTGGGATGGTAAAACAGATGGTGGTGATTTGTAAATTCGCATTGACTTGTATTCTAACTGTATAGAGACAAGGTATTTCGTATTTTACCTAATCAGCTGTATTGTTTTTTAAAGACATTTATTGGATAAGTAGGTACACATTTTTGGTGTCCACTGGGCAATATCAAGGTAAACTAAATTCATTCAAACATCCCCACAATAGTCATATATTACATAGAATATACTTAGTATAACTAATTAAAATTGCAATCCTTGTTAGAAGATGGATGGATGAATGGAAATACAGTGCAGTTCAGCACAATAGAAGCCATATGTATATGTACAAAATGTACTAAAATTATAATTGAACTTCTTGTCTAAACTGGGGATGCTGTGATTCCTGGATTTCACTGCCGTAGCGTTAACATTGCTTGTGAAGATCCTTTGTGTTGCAGTGTTTGTGAGCATAATGGATGCTGTTTAGTTGTGGTTGAGCTGCCTTGTGTCTGATAGGCCCTCCGGAAGGAGCTGCAGACATGGAAGGTGGACGTCGTTCTGAATGACGGTGCACCTAATGTTGGGGCCAACTGGGAACATGACGCCTTCTCTCAGGGTAATGACCTCCGGTGACAGAATTTGGGGGGTTTTTGGTAGAGCTTAAAACAGCTGAAAGCGGAACTGTGGAGTAGTTCCCTCATTGCATCTCAGCTTCGTCTTATAATATAAATAATAAAGGGTGTTTAGCAGGTATTGTTTCAAAGTCAAAAACAATGGGCAAGTGTCTCCTGATGCTTGGGATTCTGTTCCCTTTTCCATGCCGTAATTTATTCTTTTTCCCGTTGTCATGGACGTACGTTGAGCCTCTTGCCATTTCCTCGCCCCCAACAGCTCATCTCACCCTCATGGCCCTCAAGCTGGCCTGTGAGTTCTTGGCCAAAGGAGGCAGCTTTATTACCAAGGTGTTCCGCTCCAAGGATTACCAGCCGCTGCTCTGGATCTTCCAGCAGTTCTTCAAGAAGGTGCAGGCCACCAAGCCCCAGGCCTCACGTAATGAGTCTGCGGAGATTTTCGTGGTCTGCCAGGGTACGCCGTATTCGGCTCTCTCATTTATTTTCGCCTCCGATGGAAACTGCACTTGTGGTTCCGTTTTCTTCAACCGGTTTTCCCTCCGATGTGTTCTTCAGGTTACCTGGCTCCAAATAAAATTGACAACAAATTCTTTGACCCGAAACATGCCTTCAAGGAGGTGGACGTTCAAGCCAAGACTGTGAAGGAGCTGATTCCCGTGAAGAAACCCAAGGTAGGTTTCTGTGGGGGGGGGGGGTTTGACCACCCGGTCAATATAAACGTTTCCAGTCTAACGATAAGTTGTCATTGTAGGCTGAGGGCTACGCCGACGGCGACCTGACACTGTACCACACCTTCTCAGTCACTGAGTTCCTTAAAGCTGAGAACCCAGTGGACTTCCTGAGCAAAGCCAGTGAGGTAAAGACCCCAGAGCACTTTAGCGGACATGGGGCATGGTAATTACACTATTATAAATGGAAAGATGGCCTATGATTCTATGTTTTCTTTCCACTCGTGACCTTTTAAAGATCACTTTTGACAACGCCGGGTTGACTTCTCACCGAGCCACAACCAATGAGATCAAAGAGTGCTGCCGTGACATTAAGGTCCTGGGCCGCAAAGAGCTTCGGTAGGTGATGGCCGTCCTCCGCTCGCGTCCTGCTGCTCTCCAGTTGCTCCTTGAAGGCCGTGAGCCGTCCCCACAGCTTGACACGCAAACTCACTGTTTCCTGTCATTTCTGACCACAGACTTCTGCTGAACTGGAGGGGAAAGCTCAGGAAATTCCTGGCTAAAAAACTGAAGGATGAAGCTAAGGAACTTGAACAGGACATGAGGTACTTGAGTTAGCTGGTTGTTTGTAGCACATCATTATCCATCTACAGATATTTCATCTTCATGTTTGTGAATGGCCTCCACTTATGTGCATCAGGCTGAAAATGTCAGTGCATGTCATGAAACCACATCCCTGCTCATTGATGGTGTTTATAAGGTTAACACTGCGGTATTTACTATCTTGGTCAACATAGTGAGCAGAAATACTTAACCCACATGCTGTTGGTGTTTTTGTGGGGAGGGGGCTGATGAAGTACTGGAAAACTTTTATATTTATTTATATTTACACACACACACACACACACACACACACAAAATTACATGTGTATGTATATATATACACACACACACACACACACACACAAAATTACACATGTATGAGAAATGGTTAGTTCAGTGAAGCACCTTAGCTGGAAGCCTGACCTGACTGCCACCTTCCACTATTTTTTGCATCACTTTAGGGTCTTTGCTGTTTCGTAATGCTTTGTTAAAAATGATTCAGCATTTATGAAGTCGCCGTGTGGTATCTTTTGTGATGGACCACCTCAGCTTCAGCTCCAGTGATGAGGGGGAAAATGCAGAGAAGGAGAGCAAGAAGGAACCTAAGAAGAGCACAGAAGAGGATGAGGAGGATGCGGAGATGGAGAAGAAGCTGGCTGAGCTCAAAGAAGAGGAGGTGGCTGAGCTGCGGAGGTAGGTCTCCCGCTGGGCCGCCCGCGGAGGTAGGTCTCCCGCTGGGCCGCCCGCGGAGGTAGGTCTCCCGCTGGGCCGCCCGCGGAGGTAGGTCTCCCGCTGGGCCGCTCTGCGTTTCCGGCCTTCACGCTTTCGCTGTACTTAGTGCTGCGAGTCCTTCTACAGGAGACGCGGACATGAAGTTCACTCATAGTTTATAGCCCTGTGACCTGGGAAATGTAACCGGACACACCAAGAATCAGCTGGATGGTGCTGCTGATTTAAATGGACCAATTTCTGTTTACAGAAAGAAGAGGAAGTTGCTGAAGGAGCGGAGGAAGCAGAGGGAAAGGGTGGAGCTGAAGATGGACCTGCCCGGTGTCTCCATCGCCGACAACAACGACTCCTCCATGTTCTCCCTTCACACCATCAACAAAGCCAAGGTAAGCCCAGTGCATACTGGGAGTCCAACCGGGCCGGTCTTGTGGGAGGCTGTAATGCTGGATCTGGATCCCTAATTGGCGGGGTCACTACCTCCCCCGTCTGCACCCTGTCTTTATGTGCATCTATAGATATGCTGCTAGATATTTTTATAGTCCACTACCTATGGTGGTCCTGTAGAGTGAGGAAGGCGGCCATTACTGCGATGGCATCTCCGCAGAAGCGTACGTGGCGTGCGAATGGCAGCCGTCAAAGTGTCTTGTTTTCTGCTTTCTGCCTGTGATGCACACTTAACGTTACTTTGACTAACATCAGGGAGAACTCGTGCCGTCGTCGGCCGCTCAAACAGCAGTGGAGAACTCACAAATTTGGAGAAACAGCGAGTGCAAGGACACGCAAGCCTTTTACGACACAAAGTGAATCTGTAACAGGGCTGGGCGGTATTTCGAAGTTTTACGATATGTCGATATATTTTCAAAACGGGACACGGGATGACAGAATTACCTTTCATATCAATACGCTGTAATTGTGAGGTAAAATTAGGACTGTATTAAAGATTTTTAATTGAAACCAATAGTATTCCTTCCTGGTTGTAAACGACTAGAGAACTTTGGTCGTGACGTTGAACAGAATCCCAGCTACGTCAGGATTATGATGGTTGTTAATGGACTGTGAGTATCGGACAGGTTCCTTTCAGAATAATGTTTCTGCGTGCTGGTGCTCGTCCGGGGGTCCGACTCAGCCGGTTCATGTCACGGTTGCTCCTCAGGCTCTGAGTGAGTTTTCCCGGGGAGACATGAAGGCCGCAGACGCGGCTGTGGACGAGGAGGACCGGGATGACGACGTGTACCTGTCCGACGGCGACAGCGACAAGATGTCCCTGGCGTCGGACCTGGATCCTGACGACCTGGAAGATATTGAGCAAAGACAAAAACAAATGGATGCAAAGAAGGGGAAGAAAAAGTACCAGTCCTTTTTTATTGACCCCCCCCCATCTTTCCGTACATGCCGGGCTCATGCTGATCTGTCTGAACATGGCCGCCTCTCTCGTCTTGCAGAGTGTCTTTCAATGTGGAGGAAGAGGAGGAGGAAGGGCAGGGCAATGAACTGCTGGTGGATCTGGAGGGGAAAGAGGAAAAGAGGGATTCTGAGACCAGTCTGTGGTTTAGCAAGGTCTTGCCTTCGTTTTTATTAATATTTTAACGATTTTAATCCCCTCGCCCGCTCGTCTACCAGAGTGGCAGTGTGATGGTTCCTTGGCTCCTCCCACACAGGATATCTTCTCTGAGCTGGACCTGGATGCCGATGCCGACAGAGAGATCCGACAGGCGCAGAGGCTGCAGAGCAGGCCGTCCGGCGGTGAGTGCGACCGATGGCGCCCGATCGAGCTCCGCCGTCTCATTGGGCCCAGGGCTGCAACCTGCACCTGCCGCTGTGCTCACAGATAAAAGCAGGAAGCGGAAGGCGGTGGAGGAAGAAGCTGCAGCAGAGCGGGAGGAGGCGGGGCCTTCGCGGGAGGCGGGGCCTTCGCGGGAGGCGGAGGGGAGCGAAGGGAGCAGCAGCGACTCGGACGACAGCAGCGATGACGAGAGGTTCGAGGGTCCTGCTTCCGCGAGAACAGCTCTGCAGCTGGGCAGCAGTATAGCTACTATTTCTGATGTCCAGATGAGATTAAACTTTTGTTGTGCTGAATACAGGGACAGAGCCAATGAAATGCAGTTACCATCAGACCATGTGCAGATAAGATATATACAAATACAGTAAATTATACATAAATTATGAATATGTGTAAATTGAGGTTTCGTGCAAAGTATGCACGAGTTACGTACCTTTAAAACATGATACATTCTTTATGGTACCTGCAGATGTGAGACTGACTCAGAGCCCAAGGCTGCCAGATGTTTAATTCAAACCACCTTGTAGCACCAGCATCTGCTGACCCCGGGAAGAGCCTTGTGTTGATGAGCTGGTGTCCTTGCAGGGAGATCGCCCACATGAAGAAGGCTTCTGGGGGGCTGGCTGGAGCCGCCGGAGCTGAAGATGATGGGGACTTCCAGGTGGTACCGGTGGAGAGCACAAGTGAGTCTCCCTGGGGGGGAATCCCAGCTACGTCCTTTGCTGGAGATGGGGTTCTCCTGGAAGGGACTGCCTTGTCAGGTTCTGGGGTTTATCGGGGCCGCCTTGTCAGGTTCTGGGGTTTATCGGGGCCGCCTTGTCAGGTTCTGGGGTTTATCGGGGCCGTCCTTCTCTTCCGCAGGTAAACGCGCTCGGATCCTCGACCCCGAAGGCCTGGCGCTCGGCTCTCAAATAGCCACGTCCAAGAAGAAGGAGAGGGACCTCATCAATGGCTCCTTTCACAGGTTTCACTGTCACTTGTCACCTGCTTGCTTTCCGCATGCGGACCTGCGGCAGCCCTGTTTACGCCTGAGTGACTTGTCCTTCAGGGCATTACCACCAGTCTTTGTTTTCACATCAGAACTTGTCAGTATACATTTTTCCCATTATGATTTCTCCTTTATGTTCCACGTTGATAGAACGTCGGTTTTAATTTAGCAGAACTCATGTTGTGTACTGGAGTCACCCTTAAGGTTTACCTTTGTATTTATAAAGCCTCTGCACGCACGGCACGCCACGGCACGGCACGGCACGGCACAGCACGGCACGGCACGCCGATAAGCTGGCCAAGCTTCAGGGCTTATCTATCCATCCATCCATCCATCCATCCCTCCCTGTGGAATTGATCGCCAGTTTCACGAATGTCACAAGTCATTTAAATACATCTGCCACGGCAGTTTAGACCTTTCACACCTCTGCCTGTCAAATGAGGCATCTATGTCTGAGACTTTGCGCTTCATGCCACGCGCCCCCAGGTTCGCCAACTCGGAGGACATGTGCGACATCCCCGAGTGGTTATTGGAGGACGAGAAGAAGCACCGACGTAGACCGGTGCCAGTCACCCCCGAGATGGTGGAGGAGTACAAGCAGCGCTGGAAGGAGATCAACGCCCGGCCCATCAAGCGCGTGGCGGAGGCGAAGGCCCGCAAGAAGAGGAGGGGGGGGGGGGGAGGCAGGAGTGTGAGGGGAGGGGAGGACTGGGCCCATATCAGGCATGGTGATGGTCACAGTCTGACTGGCGTGTCTGTGTGTCAGATGCTGAAAAAGATGGAGCAGGTGAAGAAGAAGGCGGAGGCAGTGGTGAACACCGTGGACATTTCCGAGCGGGAAAAGATGGCTCAGCTGAAAAGGTCGGTGCCGCGTTCGCTAGAACATTCCTGAGCATATATGCGGGCGGCACGCGGGTATTTAGACGCGTGTCTGTAATTGGCCAATTCTGCGACTCGTCCCCCCCCTTCATTTCCATTCCCTCTCCTCGTCAGTATTTACAAGAAGGCGGGCGTCGGGAAGGAGAAGCGGGAGGTGACCTACCTGGTGGCCAAGAAGGGGGCCGGCAGGAAGGTCCGGCGACCCGCCGGCGTCAAGGGATTCTTCCGCGTCGTGGATGGGAGGATGAAGAAGGACATGAGGGGCGAGAAGAGGAAGGAGAGGCGGGGAGGGGGCAAGGGGGGCAAAGGGAAAAAGGGGGGTAAGGGAACGAAGGCAGGGAAGGGACATGCAAACAAGAAGTAACCCACCCCCCAATGTCTGCAGTGTGCAGAGGACAATAAGAGTGGAACTGGGAGAACTGGTGACGCTATAGAGCCCCTCAGCGTGGCTTGCTGGGACATGACACTGAGCAAGAGCACAAACTCTACTTGTCGTCTTGCCCCTGAAGGTACCCCTAAGAGATGGGAGATTGTTCCCTGTTTGCCTGACTGTCCGAGTCTCAGCCTCGTAACTGATTACAGTCAGTGTTGTTATGAGTTTGTATGCTGGGTTTATGATGCATAGAAATGTCCTCCCCATTCACTCGGCCTTTCGGCCTGGTCTTCAGCTGTAAATTCTTTCTTAACAACTCGAACAATAAACTTCTCTTTTACATGAATTAGTCTTTCTTTAAGTAATACAATGTATCATTTCATGGAGAGTTGGCTCCCATTGGTCAGTACAGTACGGACCTGGGCGGCGACTTCGAGATGTTTGGGGGCCGCTGTGGCATAATGCGCCGTTTGTGCGTTGTTTTCCGTCTCCTCTGTGACGTCGCGTTACGTTTTGAGGCCCCGGAGTGGCTGCATGGGCCTGGTGTTTTCTGGCTCTGATACGGTGTCATTTTCATTACGCAGGATGTCAAGTACTGATCAACAAAGGGACGCAGCAAGCTTTGTGATTGGAGGATGTGTAGCTACCAAAGATGTTTAGCATCACACAGTACAGACTCCTACAACCAGTGCTTTGACTGTAAATGAGTGTTTCCTTAACTCTGCGATTGGGGTTGGCAGTGGCTGCTGTTTGGAGTGCAGAGGTGCTGGTGTGCAGCCCGCAGATGTGTCTGGAATGCCAGGGAGGATGATGATGGGATGACAGATGCGTCAGTGTCCCGCCCAGTCAGGGGCTCTGGCTTGGTGCCCCAGTCAACAATAGGGGTCCTGTGATGCTGACCACTGCCAGTGCGAATCAGCGACTTTTTTTTTTTTTTCCTTCCTCTCTTCCCTCGAGAATGAAGAGCGGGATGAGAGGCCAAGGAGGAGGGAGAATGTGATGGGAGGACTCTGCCAGGGCGAACCAGGTCCGAGGAGCGAGTGGGGGCCCGGCAGGATGGGTTGGGGTGGGGGAGGGGGGGTGCTGAGATGGTGAGGTATGTCGGGGGGAAGAGCTGCTGGCGTCCAAGGTGATGGGGTGGGATGAATGGGACAGCAGAGAGAGCCACAGGGATTAGCGTCCCTCACGTGTCGCCCTCGATCATTCCCCCCCATTGTAACCAGAACAATAAGGGTATGGTGCAGGCAGCTTAAAAAGGATAGACGGAGCCAAGGACAGCCTTGGCGGCTGTGGGGAAGCGGCGGATCGGGGCAAAAGAGGTATTTCCAGACTTTTTTTTATGTGTGCAAGTCAGTCACAAAAGTGTAAATGCTGAAGAAGGTCAGATTTAAAATGTTCTCGGTGCAAAAACACGTGATGCGTGGGCTGTAGATTTCCTTAGCTGCTCGCTCCAGCATTTGTGTTAGTCAGCAAGAAGGTAAATTCAATATTTAGTTTAAATTTTATCTGGAATTGCTGGGTAAATTTCCTACTTAAATGATAACGGTGGACCTGTGTTTTGTATTTATTGTAGCAAACACTGGACTAGTTGTAAAGCAAACTGAATATTTTAAAAATGCATTGCTAAATGTTTAAAGCTATTCCTCCATGACTGGGTATTCTAATTTGCAGATGTCTTTCATGCTTTATTCAGGTTTATTTTCTGTTTTTTACAGCAAGGACAGATGAGTGTAGTTTGAAAACATCTTTGTTGTCCGTCTGTGTGGCTCATTTTGTTTTTCCTGTCTGCTAAACAAGTAATTCAGTTTTTGCAGTTTGTAGGCAGACCAGCTGCTTTGTTCTTTCAACTGATCAAATCTTTGTGTTAATTCTTCTGATGGCTTCTTTCCATGGCATCGCTAATATCTGTGGGGTCTGTGAGGTCCCACTGAAAATGCGTAAACATGCTTCCTGGAGTCATGTGCTCACTGCCATCCTAGACAATGACATAGAGGCTACAAAAAAGTTCATAATGGTTACAATTATGCAGTTATATCATGTTATGGATATTAACTGTAATGTAATATTTTATTGACATTAATTGTAATGAATGCTGGGTTTGAAAAGGATAACGGCTTTTTAAAAGATTGACTGGGCTCTGCATTGCATTTTGCGTAGAAGATTGTATGAAATTTGACTGAAAAGAAGTTGCTAAAGTTCCCTCTGGATTGTCCTAATGAGGCCCTATTAATGGAGATAATCTGATGTGGTGTCCTTACAGTGGTCTAAACCAGTGGTTCTCAACCTTTTTGCACCATAGCTCAGTTTTTACCATGCCAGCTCAGTCGCGACCCTATATCTTGTATAAGTCTAAATTAACACTGCGATCAAGCGTGCAGTGCGCTCTGCAATTAACGCCAATTAATGCCTAAAACTCAAATCTGATTGGATGTGCCAGTAAATTTTTAATTAAGCATCTGCGGTTTGGCTTCTTGGATTGGTTGAGTGTTCACTAGTTTTGCACTATACATTTGCAGACCCAAGACCCATTCATATATGTTAATTCTAGGATTGTGGCTGGGAAATCTGATCGTGGATCAGCATAGGAGCTTGCTGGTTTTAAAATGTTTCCAACTCTGCCTTGCAACCCATTCAGAACTTGGGTTGCGACCCACGGGTGGAGAATGGCTGGTCTAAGCGGCCCCTATGGGTACCTTCCAATGGAAAAGGGTGCTGTTATAAAGTGCCCTTTGATGCCACCCCTACATGAGTAAGTGTTATAAAGGGTGCCCTTTCCGATAGAGCGATTGGCATGCAGCAGTGTAAAGGGAACTCCTAAGTGGCTAAAAAAACATGGTGAAGTGCCTGAATAGGTGCCCTTCTATTGGATAAAATGTGATGTAGTACCATATAAGGTGCAATTGGGTGAACCTGAGGTGCCCTCTGGGTGCCTTTCTGGTGGGAAAAAAAACTCATGAAGTGACTTCTGGGGTCCCCTTCCAAGTGAGCGGACATGATGAGGTGCCCTTCCAAGTGAGCGGACATGATGAGGTGCCCATGTGATGAAGAGAAAGATATCCCTCATGGCTGCCCTTCCAGTGAAGAAAATGAGATTCACTGCTCCAACATGAGATGCCGTTTCCCATACATGCAAGAACACCATTTCACAATGTACAGCATATTATTGTATAAGTTGGGGTGCCACTGGCATGGATAGTACTGTAGAGGTTGCCTGCTTAGTTTGAGAGCTTGTCTACATAATATATAAACATGAATATGCTAACTTTCAGCATATGGTCTTGTGATCAGATCTTCTTCCATTATCGGAATAGTCTGTGTACATCCGGATAGGAGGTCATTCTCTTCCCACATTTCTTCCTACTCAGGTCCTGCCCACTCTGGCTAACAGGTGCGGTGCTTTTAGGAGGGCATATTTCCTGGGGGCTCCTTGATGCTGTTCAATTTGGCAGGTGGGGGCACACTAAGTGGTGTGACCGCCCTTTTGCTACTAATCATCTCCACGGCGACGGACTATTGGATGCAATACCGTTACACTGGCAGCCCAGCAAATCAGGGGCTGTGGAGGTTCTGCATCAATTACAAGTGCCATGTCCACACCATCACTATCGGTGAGTCTCACTGTCTTTCACCGACATGCCATCACCTCGCTTCCAAGATGGAGTAATCTGGTGCTTTTGGGTTTATTTTACTCCCACGTGTAAATAAAGTGAACGCGTCTATGGATCGGAATATTTCCCTGGGTGTGACGTGCCGCCGCGTGCCGATCCACAGGCTTCTGGGATGCGACGCGAACCTTCATGCTGCTGTCGATTCTGAGCTGCTTCGCTGGCGTGATCATGGGTCTAAGCGCCTTCTCCAACGGAACCAAGAACAAGCTAATGAGATCCGGTGGGATAGCTTTGCTGCTATCCAGTAAGTACCACAAGAACGGACGTAGAATTGCTAGAGGAAATATAGAAACATGGAAATGAATCAGATCATAGAGAGACCCTGCTGGCAGAGATGGGTTTTACATACATTACTGGCTAAAATACTGACTAGGTCAGTGTTTCTGAAACCGGGTGCAGGGCCCCTCAGACTGTCTGGGAGGGAGTGAAAGTGTGACCGGGTTAGGAAATACTGGACTAGGGGACAGCGCAGGTGCCATAAGAACATAAAACTATCAGAAATTTGGCCCATCAGGCTCATTTGGGGAGAATTCAACTAATAGCTTAAACTTGTTAAAATCTTATCTAGCTCAGATTTAAAGGAACCCAGGGTTTTAGCTTGCACTACCCCAGGGTTCTTCAAATCTGGACCTCGATTCCAAATCCAGGCCTTGTTTTCAGTTCTCCCAGGTAGTTAGTTTAATAATTACTGATTCTGATTGGTCAGAGGCTTCACACCTGGCTCACAGGTAGAGGTGATTTGAATAATAGGGCACTACACTAACAGGAAGACTATTCCATACTCTAACTACACGCTGTTGTAAAGAAGTGCTTTCTCAAATCCAGTTTAAAATGTTCTCCTGCAAATGTCTGCCTACGGTCACGAGTTCCTGTAGTTGAAGTAATACTGAAATAACTATTTGGATGAACAGCATCCAGACCTGTTAGAATCTTATATACTTAAGCTAAGTGGATGAAGCATGCTTGTGAAATGAAAAGCTTTAGACAGACACGAGTAACCGAGACAGGATATAAACAGGCCTATTTGTGTAGAGCAGGGGTGGCGGTTTTATCTGCAGAGGGCCAGTGTGCATGCGAGCTTTTGGGATAAGCTTTCTGATTTGGGAGTTGCAGTGAAATCCTGCATAGATCACAGCCCTTTCTGGATAAGATCCCCCCACCTCGGTACAGATGGATGTTAGTAGCTGAAATATGAACTTACTCCCCCATTCCCTCCCTAGGTTTTCTTACCCTGTTTGCCCTGGCGATTTACACTGGGGTGACGGTTCAGTTCTTCGGAAAGCGCTACATTGACTGGAGTTTTTCCTGGTCCTACATCTTGGGCTGGATAGCAGTCGTCTTGACACTCGCGGGAGGTAAACTGTTTATCTTCACTTTGCATCTGTCTGCCAGTTTTTTATAAGTCCTATATATCCTACATATACCTCCTCCCCCCCCCCCTCTGTCCTGACTCCACGCACCTTCCCCGTTGCCATGACTTCGAACCTGAGGGGGCTTATCAGTCACAGCTGACAGTGGCCAGAGTCTAATTGCAGTTTATTAAAACTCTTGCTGTTCCTGCACTTCCTGCTCTGCCCTGGGTATCCTGTGCCTTTGCCCATTGCTGCACTTCCTGCTCTGCCCTGGGTATCCTGTGCCTTTGCCCATTGCTGCACTTCCTGCTCTGCCCTGGGTATCCTGTGCCTTTGCCCATTTGCAGCCTTGCTCTGTGCTGTTCTGCTCTCTGTCCTTGCCTCCCTTTTTGCTTAGTGCTTGTGTTGCATCTAGCTACTGTAATGCTGCCGGTTTCAGTTTTGTCTTTGGCTTTCGTTTGCATTTTAGTTGCAGTCCCTTGGTCTTGCTTTTCTGCATTCTACCATGTCATTTTCCCCTGGTTCCCTTGTTCGCATCTTTGCTCCTTCCTCACCGTAACATTAATACATGGCTCTGCTTTTTCTGGTTCTGGAATATTCATGTGGGCAAAGGCAATATCACCAGGGAATCATTTCCTTAATATCTAGTATTAAATCACACTATGGCAAAATTGTCATTTGTTTACTGATTGAATTTATCGAGCTAAATAAGTACAGACTGTCTTCTCTAGTGAATATTTCAGTTAAATGTCATCTGAACCATCTCCAGTAGCTCTAGATGCTGTAATCAAAGCTGTTATATCCATCCATCTTCCAACTGCTTGTCCTAGACAGTCACTTTTGGGCCTGGAGCCCATCCCAGCCAGCACCGGCATGAGTCAGGAATACATCCCCACGGGATGCCAGTCCATCGCAGAGTTAAAATATTTTTATTCAAAAAAATTCTGTAAAAAAAAAAATACGTCTTAATTTCTCATAATCCGAGGTCATCCTTGAGCATGTGACGTGTTTTTTTCTGTTACTTGCTTCTTGTAGGTGTGATCCAGATTTACACCTATCAGAAGAAAACTGCTGAATCATCTACTCCCAATATCCAAGACAGTGGGTTACAGTAAAAATATAAAAAATAAACCACAACTTGCTTTGGAACCTGCAGAGAGAAACTCTACTTCTGCTCAAATATAACAGGATTATCAACACTGTTAAATGTCAGTTTTCTGGACACCTGTCTCCCTGTCTTTCTCATTATCAAGTAGGTCCAATGCTCTTAAGTAGAGCTTAGGAGCATGAACAGAAAACATGAAACGATATTAAGTCCAGACCTCTTGTATCGGCCGTGTCCTCTGTATCCTCTGCTGCTTACAGATTATGTGCAGACATCACATATCTTTGTGTAACATGTAGAAGCCTTTAACAGTTTATCTTAGGTTCTTAGTTATCTTGTATTAGTTTTCTAATGCTTTACATATAATAAAATGCAGGCAAAGATGCAGAATCTCCATGTCATGCAACGTGTGACCACCACAAAAAGACTAATGTGAGGATTGACAGAGGACGATCAAAAACGTACAGAAGAGAAAAAAGGTTTTTTTCATGGATAAATTTAGCCAGGAGTTCTAATGGTTAAACATTTGTTTTGAAATTGAGACCCTCCATATGCTGGATACTATACATATAACAATAAAACAGTTTGAAATGTTTTTCTGCTGAGTACTCATTGACTGGTAAGCTTATTTACACACAGACTCCTAACTTCATCAATGATGAGATTTAACAAAAATCATCCATCTATCATTATCCAAAATCCCCTTACCCAGGTCAAGATCAGTGTCAGCCTGGAAGCCCCCCCAAGAAGCGGGGGGGGGGGGGGGGAGGATACCCGCCATTCATCACAGAGTTCAAACGGGGACAAACACTATAGCCTTTAAAGAGACAGCAGTTCATCTAAACACACATCTTAGGCCACATACAGAGCTGGAGGTGGGACTTGAACCAACAACTCTTCATTGCAGTACGTATGATGGTTGTTTTTCGTTTGAATTCATCAGGGAACCACGAGAAATACAACAAAAGAACCTTTGGTGGGGCCTCTGAGAAAGTTTTAAAGGTTCATTTAAAGACTTTGCAAAAAATGGCAAAAGATTAATTGAGACGCTGTTCAGAAAATTGATAGGAAAAAAAAATCTATTCACAATTTCCTCATGTCATCAGCTCTAACCCTAATTTGGGGCCTTAGGGGTGAAACAACAGGCTGTGGGAAAGTAGGAAAAATGCTACTATAGCACGCTAAACTGTGTTTTCCCATCCTACGGGGGCCCGGTCCTATCATGAAAAGTCATGTTGACGCCTGAAAATAATATATTTTTTCTAACCCTAACCCTAGCCTCAGTTTGCTAACCATATCCCTAATTTGGGCCCTTGGGGTGAAACAACAGGCTGTGCAAAAGTAGGAAATATGCTACTACAGCACGCTATACTGTGGTTTCCAATCCTACGGGGGCCCGATCCTATCATGAAAACACATGTTGATGTCTGAAAATGCCATACGCTTTCTAACCCTAAGACCTGTATCGATCCTCCCCACTGCCATATATCGCCATTGTTAATATTCCACTTCTGAACTTTATTTTTCATTGCACATATTTGTTACTTATTTGTTTACTTATTCTTAGATTGCACTGCTGTTTGTCCTGTACTGTCCTGTCCTGTATTGTGCTCCTGTTTGCCCTGTACTGCCTTGTCCTGTTTTGCACTGCCATTTGTCCTGCACTGCCTTGTCCTGTTTTGCACTGCCATTTGTCCTACGTAGTCTTATCCTGTATTGCACTGCTGTTTTGTGCTGCTGTTTGTCCTGCACTGTCTTGTCCTGTATTGCACTGTTGCTTGTCCTGCTGTCTTGTCCTGTATTGCAGTGCTGTTTGTCCTGCACCATCTTGTCCTGTATTGCACTGTTGCTTGTCCTG